TTGCATACAGTCTTCTTCTTGCATACAGGCTTTTCGGCAATTGAGACCTACTCTCAACAACACACTCCAGAAACAAGAGTTGTTCACAGAAAAGAGAGTTGCGAAAAGAAAGCTGCACAGTTTCGTCTGGGAGACAATGTGTCGATCTCGTCGAACGAATCCGAGCCACTTTGTGTGTGTGTGTGTGTGTATATAGTCGACGAAGGAAGATATCTCGTGACACTCCTAAAACGTAGGTAACCGCAACGAAATCTCGCGGTCAACGAGATAGTGTGATTTGTATGAGTAGTACCGGTATCTGATGTAATCTGTTACTAGAACTAAGTGTTGGAACAAGAGAATTTCTCTTGAAGTTCCGGGTCCCCATTTAGGATTGGGGGTGGGTGGGGATAGACCCAATGTTCTCTAACAATGAAGTCGTAAAAGTAAACTAATTAGGGGTAGTTCCTTTGAAGTCGAAGTGAGTGTAAAACGGATGTGCACGCAAACTTAAGTACTGGATCAATATCTAAGTCGAGAAGTGGACGAACATCGAGAACTTTAAAAAGAAGTCGGAGAGAATGGCCAATGATATATTTAAATGTTAGCTGCGTGTCCTTGACAGGACATTGAAGAACCAACCCCAGGATTTTTTGTAATAATTGCACTAGGCAATTTTTACGAACAGTAGTCGGCTGTTAGGCGATCGGCTCTTGATATTATCGAAAGGAATGCAAGCGGCCTGCTGCCAAACCTCTCGCAGCTGAAATCAGAGTGGACACCCCCGAATTACGAAGCGCGTTGGCAACTCAACGCTGTCATTAAAGCATTTATGGTGTAGTAAGCTACTTCCGCTGTTGAGAGCTGGGAAATTGTTATGTGGAACCTAACCAGACATGTCAGTATGTGCTTAAATTTCCCCTTCCACATATACATCAGCGTCACGGTTTAATAGTCTCAGTCCTATGTTGGTTGCGAAACTTTTCGTACGTTCGGCATGTTTCTAATGCCTGGCTGTGCTAATCTTTACTCCTAATTCTTGCACTCTTAGCACAGATGCAGATGTACTGCTTTCAAAATCATCCGAACCTCACTAATAGCATTACCAATAATCCATGGGCCGGCCCTCTGTAACTAAGTCAGAGCCGGCTAATCTGTCGGCTCTTTCATTGCCAACAACACCCGCACACACTAGGAAACATGTGAAGGTAACTTCACGCACAATAGAGTTTTGCAATGACTCGATCCACAGTCTGCATACAAAGCACCCCTCGACGCGTCGGATCATGCTCATTGGATCACTCAGCACACACACGTGAGAATATTCCTGAAATGCTAGCCACATGAAAGCTCGTGTTACCGCCATCGCCTCTATTGTCATGCTGCTAGTACCCATACAGAAGGCACCATTGGCCTCCTGGACTTTTCAGCCTGCAGAGCATGCAGTAAATGCCCATGCACTTTTTGTCCTCGTACAACGGAGCCATCTATGAAGATCAAGTACATCCACCTCATCTGAATGTTCACATATAAGCGCGTGAACCTCTGATTTGACAGCTCCTGACAGATCATATCAAGCGTGGCAACACAGGAGAAGGTGCACCTGGGCCGCAGGTCTCCATTCTTCGTCGGGGCTGATTGAAGATCTGTTTTTCCATTCATGTTTTGTCTTTTAATTCTATATCCCATTTGCGATCGTCTATTATTTGTTAAGTCTATATCCCATTTGCTATCCTCTGTTATCTTTTAATTCAATATCTTATTTGCTATGATCTATTATCCAAGATTGCAGTACTGTCACCTTTTTAAGCATCATGTTTTTCTCTTAACGCTACTGAATTAAAAGCTTTGTTTGGTGTACCGGCCCCTGTTTAAAAACTTGACAGTGAGTAGTGCATACAATAAATCATATTTAACGCACAAACATTTACACGCACACTTGCGCACGCACGCACACACACACACACACACACACACGCACACACACACACACACACACACACACACACAAAACGATGTTCTAATCAGGCCAAGTTGGAAGTTTATTTTCAAACAATGAATGTAATTAAACATGACAAGGGACTTGGGAGCGAACCTGGATGTTACATTTGTGACAACTTGGTGAGTGTGTCAGAAAATTATCTGCCTCAGACACAAGACAGTCTTATTTAGTCAGTGACAGACTGTTACATTTCAAGCCATTAGTATGTGTGCCTTTGTGTGTGTGTGTGTGTGTGTATGTGTGACTGCATGTGCGTATGTATACGTGAGTGTGCATGTGTATGTTCATGTATCTGTGTGCATGTGTGTGTGTGTGTGTGCATGGAAACATCATCAGGAAGCCTGGTTCAGGAGAGGTTATCACTTCAGAGGGAGGGAGTGGGGTTTGATTCTCTCAGTGGGACACAGCCACAGTTGCAGGTCTGTGTAGTTTAAGGCTTTCAGAAAAAAATGGTTAACTGTAACCAAATCTATCCTTACTACAAGAAGTTTCCCCGAATAATGAAAACTATTATTAAATTATTAAATTACGTCGGTACTTTGATTTGCTGTGTGCATGTGTGTCTGTGTACATGTGTGTCTGTGTGCATGTGTGTCTGTGTACATGTGTGTCTGTGTGCATGTGTGTCTGTGGGCATGTGTGTCTGTGTACATGTGTGTCTCTGGGCATGTGTGTCTGTGTGCATGTGTGTCTGTGGGCATGTGTGTCTGTGTGCATGTGTGTCTGTGTACATGTGTGTCTGTGTACATGTGTGTCTGTGTGCATGTGTGTCTGTGGGCATGTGTGTCTGTGTGCATGTGTGTCTGTGTGCATGTGTGTCTGTGTGCATGTGTGTCTGTGTGCATGTGTGTCTGTGTGCATGTGTGTCTGTGTACATGTGTGTCTGTGTGCATGTGTGTCTGTGTGCATGTGTGTCTGTGGGCATGTGTGTCTGTGGGCATGTGTGTCTGTGGGCATGTGTGTCTGTGGGCATGTGTGTCTGTGTACATGTGTGTCTGTGGGCATGTGTGTCTGTGTACATGTGTGTCTGTGGGCATGTGTGTCTGTGGGCATGTGTGTCTGTGTACATGTGTGTCTGTGTACATGTGTGTCTGTGTGCATGTGTGTCTGTGTACATGTGTGTCTGTGTACATGTGTGTCTGTGTACATGTGTGTCTGTGTACATGTGTGTCTGTGTACATGTGTGTCTGTGTACATGTGTGTCTGTGGGCATGTGTGTCTGTGTGCATGTGTGTCTGTGGGCATGTGTGTCTGTGTACATGTGTGTCTGTGTACATGTGTGTCTGTGTACATGTGTGTCTGTGTACATGTGTGTCTGTGTACATGTGTGTCTGTGTACATGTGTGTCTGTGTACATGTGTGTCTGTGTACATGTGTGTCTGTGTGCATGTGTGTCTGTGTGCATGTGTGTCTGTGTGCATGTGTGTCTGTGTGCATGTGTGTCTGTGTGCATGTGTGTCTGTGTGCATGTGTGTCTGTGTGCATGTGTGTCTGTGTGCATGTGTGTCTGTGTGCATGTGTGTCTGTGTACATGTGTGTCTGTGTGCATGTGTATGTTAAAGATGCACTGATCGCCAGTTACTTTTGTTTAATGTTTGGGTTTTATCATAACTGAACAAGCAGGCTGATACGCTAGGGATGTTTGTTAATTATCTTCAATGCTTATCTGCACATGCCTGTTTAATCTACACTCTACTTACTAGCAGACAAACTGTCACTTTTGCGTTCTTTGGAGAACTGAATGTAAGTTGGAACTTCTGTCAGAAACACTTACTAGGTCCAATAATTAGTCTTTTTTCAGAGACCCTGTTAGAATGTAGTTTGATTACTCCTACCATCAAACCTCTCCAGTCTCTGTTAGGTAACGTGTGCAAATATTGATATGCTCAAGAACAACGATTCACTGACATGATATACTGGTTCAGTTTTGGCTTTTCGTGTATGCTTGTTCTTAAACCAGCCAACATTTCACGTTAACTGTCTGGATGTAGCAAAACACTGCTACGGTTGTGTCATAACTTGTGTTTTATAGTTGTTTGAACAACTTTTCAAAGTTAGCAACTTCTAAGACTTTAAAATTTTTAAAACTATAGGTGAACACGTGTCCCATGCTTGCAGATAAATGTAGAAAAATATTAGAGTAATCAGATGGTGCACTTTTACATCTATAACTTTTAGCAAATTGAATACCGCCACTGATAATTTAAACAAACAACTACAAATAACTAATCGGATCAACAACAAAGTCAACCCTGGTTTGAACCTTTTCTTGTACTTTTACATTTTTTTTAAAGTTACTATGTGTATGCATGTTCTATTTGCTCTTTTTTTTAAAAACAAAGATTGTTGGTTTAATAATAATAATAATAAAATCTTTTTCCTGCATCACAAACGATAAAGCTGTAACCACAGACGAGATTTTTTTTGGTTGTGACAGAGCTCATTATAGACATATTACCTCTTAAATTTAACCGATTCTTGTCGGGAATTTAATCACTGAATTGTTGGTACTGTAAAACAAAAAAATAATCTATAGATGTCATCTCCCTAACATGATGTCACCGCACACAAATTGATGTCATCCTACAAGCCTCGCGCCAATTATGACATGTATTATTGATGATATCCTATATTACTGATGTCATCCTACAAGCCTCGCGCCAATGATGACATGTATTATTGATGTCATCCTACAAGCCTCGCGCCAATGATGACATGTATTATTGATGGTATCCAACAAGCCTCGCGCCAATGATGACATGTATTATTGATGGTATCCCACGAGCCTCGCGTCAATGATGACATGTATTATTGATGGTATCCTACAAGCCTCGCGCCAATGATGACATGTATTATTGATGTCATCCTACAAGCCTCGCGCCAATGATGACATGTATTATTGATGATATCCTATATTACTGAAGTCATTCGACAAACCTAATGTCATCCTAAACGATGGATGCAACCCTACATTGGTGATGTCATCCTACAATCCCGATATATCGTTCTGTAAGTGATCCTACATACAGCGCCCATGTGTAAACGGGTCAGTGATCCGACAGTGGCGGTTGTTAGGGCACTTGCAGTTGTACGTGGTGGACTCGGAAGTCAGTGTAGCACAGTTAGACTGTGATCTTTGGCACGTCATCTGGTCATAGAAGAAAACATACATGTACTCAATGTTTTCTCTGACACATGGCAAAAACACATCTCTAAGGTTTTACTTCTCATTTTACTCCTGTTCACCATCGTTTTCGTCTTCCTCTATTTTTTTGCTGCTGCTGCTTTTTCTTCTTCTTTTTCTTCTTCTTCGTCCTCCTCCTCTTCCTCCTCCAACACTCATTCAGGCTACGATTGTGAGACGCCATGCCCTCCATTACTGTTCTGTCCACAATGTTGTGATATTAACCGCCAACTACATAAACATGCACTCATGACAACCTGGGTGTCTGAATTTGAAGCCTTGAACTATGACCTCTCCTACCCCTCCCTTCCCCACCCCATTATTTTTAGCTGGACGGTTAGTTTGACGTTAGTTTCCCCAGACCCCGCCCATACACACACTAGCTGACTTTTGGCTGGTTGGTCCTGAGCCCCGTGACCTATGCACATGGTTACGTAGGTGTTTCTCAATGCCGTTGATATCGCATGCTGTATATTTCAGCACGCCAGAGCTTTTAACACTCCGAAAACATTTAGAAACTGGGTCTAACACAGCCACTCTATAGAGTGCTGCTACCTATCTCACAGGCATTCTCTTTCTCAGAATGAAAACGTAAATGTAATACATCGCAGAAACCAAACAACAGAGCGGGACACAACTATAACCATCAGGAAAGTCGACTAGCCCAACAAACTTGTAAATGAAAAGTGAACTACTCTATTTGGGGAGCCTAACGTCGAACTAACCAGAAGGACTAAGTCACTCCCACTTCCCCACCGCTTAGAAAATGTACAATTGGGCCTCCTGACCATGGTATTTGTGTGTACTTGTTTCTTTTATATTATTTCAAATATATTAACTTTATTTGCCAGTCAGCACATAATAATAATAATAATAATAATAATAATAATAATAATAATAATAATAATAATTATAGTCTGTTGCAAAAGTTGTGGCCTCAAACTGAACCAAATGTTTCAAAAACATTTGTATTCATCAACATGAATTTTTGCATGTGGTCTTAAATGTTCGACGTCCTTATGTTTTCAAAATTTGCAATTACACAGTTATTCTGTTTTCTTACAGCGGTGAATTTCTTGATTTTGGTTTGACTAATAATTAAAAAAAAAAATAAAAAAAACATAAAGTAACTGATATTAAATCTTGTACGTTTTATGAGCCAGTCAACAAGCATTATGACAGTACATGGCCTATCCACTTTACTATTCAAAATTAGCGCGCCTTAGTTTCTTGCACGGATTACCTCCAAAACGTGGGCAATTTGATTTTTTACAACTTCGCACGCTAACTGTAGGATTTGAATTGTTGTTTGGTTTATATATATATATATATACACACACACTACAACAACAAAAACTAAATGTCTATGTTATAATTATTTTACTATAAAGACAGGTTGCATGCCAGATTTAAAGTAATCTACACCGAACGGTTACTGATTAACATATTTGGGCACAACTTTTGGAAAGTAATATAGTGTCCTTATTACCCACATAACCAAGAATTATGCCCACTGAGAGTCCTTTTCCTGCAGAATTATAAGGGAACATGACTCAGAAATGATTTCTCTACGTCTGCTTGATGATGCTGATGTTGATGGGGATGATGTTGATGATGCTGATGTTGATGGGGATGATGTTGATGATGCTGATGTTGATGGGGATGATGTTGATGATGCTGATGTTGAGGGGCATGATGTTGATGATGCTGATGTTGATGGGGATGATGTTGATGGGGATGATGTTGACGATGCTGATGTTGATGGGGATGATGTTGACGATGCTGATGTTGATGGGGATGATGTCGATGATGCTAATATTGATGGGGATGATGTTGATGATGCTGATGTTGGTGATGCTGAAGTTGGTGATGCTGATGTTGATGGGGATAATGTTGACTATGCTGATGTTGAGGGGAAGGCTGCTGATGGAGATCATGTTGACTGGGATTATGTTGATATGCTGATGTTGAGGGGTATGATGTTGATGATGCTGATGTTGATGGAGATTAGGTTGATGATACTGATGTTGATGGGAATGATTATGATGTTGCTGATGTTCATAGGGATGATGTTGAGAGGGATGATGTTAATGATGATGATGTTGTTGATGCTGATGTTGATGGAGATGATGTTGAGGGGGATGATGTTGATGATGATGATGTTGATGATGCTGATGTTGAGGGAAAGGCTGCTGATGGAGATGATGTTGATGGGGATTATGTTGATGATGCTGATGTTGAGGGGCATGATGTTGATGATGCTGATGTTGAGGGGCATGATGTTGATGATGCTGATGTTGAGGGGCATGATGTTGATGATTCTTATGTTGATGGAGATTATTTTGATGATACTGATGTTGATGGGGATGATTATGATGTTGCTGATGTTGATAGGGATGATTCTGATTATGCTGATGTTGATGGGGATGATGTTGATAATGCTGATGTTGATGGGTATAATGTTGATGATGATGATGTTAATGGGATGACGCTGAGAGGAATGATGTTGATGATGCTGATGTTGATGTTGATGATGCTGATGTTGATGGTGATGATGTTGATGAGGATGATGTTCATGATTCTGATGTTGATGGGATGATGTTGAGGGGGATGATGTTGATGATGATGATGGAGATGATGCTGATGATGGAGATGATGCAGATGAGGATGATGTTGAAGATGCTAATGTTGATGATTCTGATGTTGATGATGCTGATGTTGATGATGCTGATGTTGATGATGCTGATGTTCATGATGATGATGTTTATGATGGTGATGTTGACGGGATGATGATGATGATGATGTTTATGAGGATGATGTTCATGATCCTGATGTTGAGTTGGATAATGTTGATGGAGATGATGTTGCTGATGCTGATATTGTTAGAGATGATGTTGATGATGCTGATATTGATAGGGATGATGTTGATGATGCTGATGTTGATGGAGATGATGTTGATGATGCTGATATTGATGATGCTGATATTGATGGTGATGATGTGCTCTAGGAACTATGAAATTCAGAGAAACCTAATCAAACAGTTACCATGTGGCTGTCACAGACATAGTAGTGGTAGTAGAGATAGTCCGGCCCTATGCTTCTCTCTTTGAGCAGGAGTGGGGTCGAGTCTCTGCAGCGACAGTTGATGGACACCACATCATAGGGGATGGTCAACGAGCCTGACACCACCAAGGCCTGTGTTGGAGGTAGGGGTCAAATCAGCTTGCTTTACATGACATTGTATCACATTCATTGTCATTCAAGTCTACCTGTTAAAGGTCTCTGTTCTTTTTTGTCTGTCTGTCTGTCTGTGTTTGTTTGTCTGTATTTTCCTCTGTCTGTCTTCCTCTTACTCAGAATAAACTCCGCGTGTTCGTTCGTTCACTTCCACTCTCTCTTTGCCGCTCCCACTCTGTCTCTCTGTCTCTCTCTGTCTCTCTGTGTCTCTCTCTGTCTCTCTCTCTGTCTCTCTCTGTCTCTCTCTGTCTCTCTCTGTGTCTCTCTCTGTCTCCCTCTGTCTCTCTCTCTGTCCCTCTCTCTGTCTTTCTCTCTGTCTCTTTCTCTGTCTCTATCTGTCTCTCTCTGTCTCTCTCTCTCTGCTCTTTCTGTCTCTCTCTGTCTCTCTCTCTGTCTCTCTCTGTCTATCTCTCTGTCTGTCTCTCTCTGTCTCTCACTGTCTCTCTCTGTCTCTCTCTGTCTCTTTTTGTCTCTCTCTGTCTCTCTCTGTCTCTCTCTGTCTCTCTCTTTGTCTCTCTTTGTCTCTCTCTGTCTCTCTCTGTCTCTCTCTCTCTGTCTCTCTCTCTCTGTCTCTCTCTCTCTGTCTCTCTCTCTGTCTCTCTCTCTGTATGTATGTATGTATGTATGTATGTATGTATGTATGTATGTATGTATGTATGTATCTTTGTAAGTATGTATGTATGTATGTATGTATGTATGTATGTATGTATGTATGTATGTATGTATGTATGTATGTATGTATGTATGTATGTATGTATGTATGTATGTATGTATGTATGTATGTATGTATGTATGTATGTATGTATGTATGTATGTATGTATGTATGTATGTATGTATGTATGTATGTATGTATGTATGTATGTATGTATGTATGTATGTATGTATGTATGTATGTATGTATGTATGTATGTATGTATGTATGTATGTATGTATGTATGTATGTATGTATGTATGTATGTATGTATGTATGTATGTATGTATGTATGTATGTATGTATGTATGTATGTATGTATGTATGTATGTATGTATGTATGTATGTATGTATGTATGTATGTATGCATGCATGCATGCATGCATGCATGCATGCATGCATGCATGCATGCATGCATGCATGCATGCATGCATGCATGCATGCATGCATGCATGCATGCATGCATGCATGCATGCATGCATGCATGCATGCATGCATGTATGTATGTATGTATGTATGTATGTATGTATGTATGTATGTATGTATGTATGTATGTATGTATGTATGTATGTATGTATGTATGTATGTATGTATGTATGTATGTATGTATGTATGTATGTATGTATGTATGTATGTATGTATGTATGTATGTATATATATGGGAAGTCGCCGTGGCCGAGCGGCTAGTCGCCTGCGGATCGGAAGATCGTGGGTTCGCTTCCTGGCGGAGTCAGACTTTTTTTAAACAAATGACTGGTAAAACCAGTCTTGACTGGGTACCAGGCGCATTCCTGGGAAGTAAAGACGACCTACGTGATGCTGACTACATTGCCCATCTTGTGACGATTGATCTATACAAAATATAGGTCTAGCCCTAAAGGCCCTTTACGCCTAAATGCGTGGAAAAGGGCCCTTTACTTACTTATTATATATATATGACTCTCTTTCTCTCTCGTTGTATGATGAGTTATGATTTGGATTATCTTCACAGCACTTCAAACACATCTATAGACTTCGTGTGCGTCCGGTGTGCTTCTCATGCTTGGCTGTGCCGATCTTTACTCCTAATTCTCGTATTCTAAGCCGTGATGTGGACAAGTTTTTTCAAAAATCCTCAGAACGTCCTATCCTTCTAAAGGCAATGATAATATCTACTTCATCCACGTGCCGGCCATCTTCAATTAACGCAGCACCTGCCAGACTATCAGCTCTTTTATTAACACCAACACCTGCAAGCCCTGGGACAGATTTCAAGGTAACTGCACACACAGAAGAGTTTAGCAACGCCATCACCCGCATCGTCATGCTGCTGGAACCCAAGCACTCTTATGTCCTCGTATAATGGACACGCTGTGAAGATCAGCACATCTATCTCATCTGACTTGTCATAAACCCTCATACCTCGGCGTTGACAGTAAGGCTGCAGACCTGCATGATGTCATCCTCTACCAAGTCTATTGCCCTTTTTTCTTGAAGAGCATGTGGGGTAAAGGGTGTTTCAGTTCTGAGCTTATCTTTAGGTTTGCACCAGCCCTCCAGATCTTGATCCTGCAGTTCATGGTAGGGAAGTCAAGAAGGTGCCTCATTGCTACACAAGAGATGTCTCCAGTGCACCCTAGAATAATGCGCACTGCTTCGTTTTGCACCTTCTCAAGTCTTTCAATCTGAGTATTGCTGACAATGAGGATGGCAAGAGCATATTCGATGGAAGAAAGTACAAGTCCCTGGAACAGAATCAGTTTCTGCTCAGTATTAGCGGCAGCCAGGACCTCCACTGCTGACAGGCCTTTGCGGGCTTTTGTTATGACATGGTCAACATGTTCTTTGAAGGATAGGATGCGATCAAACCTCACATCAGATTTGTTCTCTTCAATATTTCCTCGATGCTTTCCACTGCTGGTAAGTTTGCCTTCACTATATGCAGGTTGAAAGAGAATCACGTTTCTAAGGCCTTCTAATAGTCGACATGAGCATTAGAATCAACACACCTGGAGGAGATGAGATCAAACGTCTGACTGTCTATCCTCCTCTCTTTCTCATTCTTTTTTTGTGTGCCACTATCTCTGTCTCCCTCTTTCTCACTCCCACACTCTCTTTCTCTCTCTCTCTCTCTCTCTCTCTCTCTCTCTCTCTCTCTCTCTCTCTCTCTCTCTATCTCTGAATGTATATCTCTCTTTGTATATGTCTGTCTGTCTATAGCTCTCTCGCTCTCTCTTCCCCCCCCCCAACACTCTCTTCGTCTCTTTCTTTGCCGCTTCTCTCTGTCTCTCTCTCTCTCTCTCTGTGTGTGTGTGTGTGTTTCCTCTCTCTCTCTCTCTCTCTCTCTCTATGTCCGTCTATTTTTCTATCTGACACTCTCTCTTTGTCGCTCTTTCTCTCTCCGTACGTATCGTTCTCTCTCTCTCTCTCTCTCTCTCTCTCTCTCTCTTTGTATCTGTGTGTATAACCTTCTCTTTCTCTTTCTCACTCCGACGCTCTCTTTGCCTCTCTCTTTACGTGTGTCTCTCTTTTTTATTCTTGCTCTCTCTCTTTGCCTCTCTCTTTACGTGTGTCTCTCTTTTTTATTCTTGCTCTCTCTTTGCCTCTCTCTTTACGTGTGTCTCTCTTTTTTATTCTTGCTCTCTCTTTGCCTCTCTCTTTACGTGTGTCTCTCTTTTTTATTCTTGCTCTCTCTTTGCCTCTCTCTTTACGTGTGTCTCTCTTTTTTATTCTTGCTCTCTCTTTGCCTCCCTCTTTACGTGTGTCTCTCTTTTTTATTCTTGCTCTCTCTTTGCCTCTCTCTTTACGTGTGTCTCTCTTTTTTATTCTTGCTCTCTCTTTGCCTCTCTCCCCTCTCTCTGCATCTCTCTCTCTCTTTCTCTCCCTCTCCCTCTCTCTCTCTCTCTCTCTCTCTCTCTTTCTTTTATCTCTTTCTTTGTATCTGCCTGTTGTCAATTTCTTCCTGGGCCTTACCCCGTCTTGCACTAACTGTTTCCCGCCTGTCCTTTAGTTCATGTTTGAGAATGTCTACAGAAATCTGCTGACATCTGGCCTCGGTAGTGGTGACAACGCTCATTATAAACATTCTGACAGGAATAATGATGAGTGCAATGGTGATACATACGAATATGATACTTATGAAGATTATGGTGATACATAGGAACATGATAATGACGATCGACGTGGTGCTGGTTTGATGACAATGATAACGATGGTAACGATAACAATGATAATGATGGCAATGATGTGTGGTCACCTGTTCTCCATAGGTACACTCGCGCTGAGGCTGCACGGCCTGGCAGAACATCATGTTCATGGTGATGTTGTGGGCTGCAGACAGAGAGAGAGAAAACACTGACATCAAAGGTGACATGTGTCATCCTGACATCACGGGTGACATGCGTCATCCTAACATCACAGGTGACATGTGTCATCCTAACATCACGGGTGACATGTGTCATCCTGACGTCACGCGTGACACGTGTCATCTTGACATCACGGGTGACATGTGTCATCCTAACATCACGGGTAACATGTGTCATCCTGACATCATGGTGACATGTGTCATCCTGACATCACGGGTGACATGTGTCAATCTAACATCACGGGTGACATGTGTCATCCTGACATCACGGGTGACATGTGTCATCCTAACATCACGGGTGACATGTGTCATCCTAACATCACGGGTGACATGTGTCAATCTAACATCACGGGTGACATGTGTCATCCTAACATCACGGGTGACATGTGTCATCCTAACATCACGGGTGACATGTGTCATCCTAACATCACGGGTGACATGTGTCATCCTAACATCACGGGTGACATGTGTCATCCTAACATCACCGGTGACATGTGTCATCCTGACATCACGGGTGACATGTGTCATCCTAACATCACGGGTGACATGTGTCATCCTAACATCACGGGTGACATGTGTCATCCTAACACCACAGGTGACATGTGTCATCCTAACATCACGGGTGACATGTGTCATCCTAACATCACGGGTGACATGTGTCATCCTAACATCACGGGTGACATGTGTCAATCTAACATCACGGGTAACATGTGTCATCCTAACATCACGGGTGACATGTGTCATCCTAACATCACGGGTGACATGTGTCATCCTAACATCACGGGTGACATGTGTCATCCTAACATCACGGGTGACATGTGTCATCCTAACATCACCGGTGACATGTGTCATCCTGACATCACGGGTGACATGTGTCATCCTAACATCACGGGTGACATGTGTCATCCTAACATCACGGGTGACATGTGTCATCCTAACACCACGGGTGACATGTGTCATCCTAACATCACGGGTGACATGTGTCATCCTAACACCACGGGTGACATGTGTTATGAGTATGCTCATCATTATGTAGCAGGTCCTTTGCAGAACGTCGCTCTCATCACAGTCTGCCTGAAAGAAACTCGGTCTCTCGCCAGCTCTCCCGCCTCATGCACTTTCACACTCAAGGAGTCACCTATATCCTGTGCCCATCTTCGTGTCGGTCGGCCCCTGCTCCTTCTTCCTGGTATCATGCCTTCTGCTATAATGTTTTCCAATCCGTCGTGGCGCTTGATATGACCAAAATATTTAAATTTTTTAGAAAGGATGCTGTTTTTTAGCCAATCTTTTTTGATGTTCATATCTTTTAAGATGTGAATATTTCTCATCTTCTTTGTCCAAGATATTCTGAGAATCTTTCTATAGCATTTCAGCTCAAAAGCCCCTATTCTCTTTCTTAAGGACTGAGAGATAGTCCACGACTCACATTCATATGTAGCCACAGGGAAGATGCATGCTCTCAAAATTAATGAGTATGCTAGCAAGATTAATATGGGTGTGTATGTTGTCCGCGCGGGTGCGCGTTTTTTTTTGTGTGTGCGCGCGCGCTTCGTGTGTGAGAGTTAAAGTATGGGATTTATATGAAAATATTTAAAAAAAAAATATTATTATTAAAATTATTATTATCATTATTATAATTGACGGAGTCACTGACAGCCTGCGATGTCACATCACAGCATACCAAGCAACCGAGCAGGCCCTGGTTCGGCAACTACCCATCTTCTTTTTCTTCTTCTTCTCCTTTTTCTTCTTCTTCTTCTTCTTCTTCTTCTTCTTCTTCTTCTTCTTCTTCTTCTTCTTCTTCTTCTTCTTCTTCTTCTTCTCCGCCTTGACTGGCTGTAAACTCTGGTGGAAAGTTCTTGGTGTTATTCCAGAATCTGTGTGTTGCTTGCACATCTGTTTGACATATCTGATGTTTTTGTATGCAGACTCTTGGTTCTTTACCTCTCAGGCATATATACTCAGATTTTAAAAGATTTCCTCCAATTAGTCGACTTCTACGACATACTTGCAGGGGATGCAGTACGTCTTGTTTTGTTTTGAACATAATCGAGCACCGGAACCTATACTGGGAACTTACCGTCTGAACCACGACGGCTAGTGGTACAACGCACATACTGACCACAAGAACAACAGTGACAAGTGAACTTTTCAGACCATTAAATAAACTAAAAACAACGGCGACATTTATACGAGAGACAAAACTGCAGCTATGCAGAAATTGTTGTCAGACGAAAGAAAACAAAACACAAGAAGAGGGCAGCAGAAAATAAAGAATATTTGACTATATGTTGTTATGGCCAGAAAGACAGATGTACCCCCCCCCCCCATCCCCCACCCCCCCCCCCCCCCCCCCCTCACTTACTGGTTGACAAGAGGTTCCGGGAGATCACGTGACCAGACCGTGTCCAGTCCGAGGAGCAGGTATGCGGGTAGGCGCACGAGCAGGTGTAGGTACTCATCTCTTCGTCCAGGGTTCCGTTAAGATGTCGGATGGTCACCTGAAGTCTGCAGGGCTTCCATGGTAGACGGCACACCGGAGGCTGAACACGGGAAGTGGTTCACCGTTAATTGGGTAACAAATACTTTATAAATAGCAGACTTACATAATGCTTTGTGTCTCAATTTCTGAAACTAACAATGTTTTGTATTGATTGATTTGATTTGATTTGATATATATATATATATATATATAAATAGAAAATATAGATGAGCGGTGTTACCTGTAGGTCAGTGGGACAAATAATCGCAGCTCTAGAACAGATCCTGATCGGCACCACCACTTCTCTTATTTTTGGTGCCATTTACATATCTGCTATACTGGGTTTACAATTCTTCCTTCAGTGAGTCCTCTGAGACTTAGAGAATAGTGAACGTGTTTCACATGTCTATGATCCTCCAGTACCAGGGTTCCATCCTCCGTCGTAGACGGTTATCCCCCCCCCCCCCCCTTTCCAAAAAAGAAACAAAAAATACCCTCCTCTCGTGGTTTTTGGACAAAGGCACGAGAGTCGCACGAGAGTGGCACAGTGCAAGAGATTGGGACCTCACCAGGTAATAGTGCCCAAACACAAGAGAATAATACGGATCCAATATTGACCCTGCCTAAAATTGACCAGAAATCTATTGTTGACCATGCATAAAATTGACCAGGGATCCACTATCTACCCTGCCTAATATGGGTAGAGGGATGTGTTCTGGAAAGTAAATATGGCTGCACATGATATTGACAACATTACCCATCTAGGGCGGAATGGTCTATCACACTGTGGGACTGTCATCATGTGTCTCTTTGTGGGGAATTAAAGCTTAACCTTTTTCCCACTTCCCTACTGTTTGTTTTTAAACTTTTCTACTGTTTAGTTTTTAAAACTTCTCTACTGATTATGTTCTCTCTCTCTCTCTCTCTCTCTCTCTCTCTCTCTCTCTCTCTCTCTCTCTCTCTCTCTCTCTCTCTCTCTCTCTCTCTCTATTCTCTGTTTTTTGTGTCTGAGACCTGTAAACTTATATGTCACTCATCTCGCAGGTGCAATTCAAATGGTGTGAGATTGTCATAAAAAATGAGATCGAAGAGAAATTTAAAGACATGTTCTGGAACAGGACTGCAGTCCAGAAGTGGACGAACAACCAGAACTTTCCACCAGAGTTTTACAGCTGGTGAACACGAAGAAGAAGAAAGACACTGTAACCAACCTTCAATGTGAAGACGGTACAATGTTTTTATTTCCTTGATCCAGTTCGCTTAAGTTCAAGGACACTCTAATTTTCTTGTTTGTGGGTTTCCGTGGTGTAGATGTCAAGTTGTTTGTGGGTTTCCGTGGTGTAGATGTCAAGTTGCTTGTGGGTTTCCGTGGTGTAGATGTCAAGTTGTTTGTGGGTTTCCGTGGTGTAGATGTCAAGTTGCTTGTGGGTTTCTGTGGTGTCGATGTCAAGTTGTTTGTGGGTTTCCGTGGTGTCGATGTCAAGTTGTTTGTGGGTTTCCGTGGTGTAGATGTCAAGTTGTTTGTGGGTTTCCGTGGTGTAGATGTCAAGTTGTTTGTGGGTTTCCGTGGTGTCGATGTCAAGTTGTTTGTGGGTGTCCGTGGTGTAGATGTCAAGTTGTTTGTGGGTTTCCGTGGTGTAGATGTCAAGTTGTTTGTGGGTTTCTGTGCTGTAGATGTCAAGTTGTTTGTGGGTTTCCGTGGTGTAGATGTCAAGTTGTTTGCCCAGTGTTCGGAAGGTCGGGGATCGTTTCACGGACGCCTCGTTTAGTTCACCAGTGAAGTTCTTACGGAGATTCCTCGGGATCGTCGATGAAGCTACGGAGATGATGCTGTGTGTGACTCGCTCGGCAGGCGGCTAGCCGTCTCTTTGTGGTAGCCCTGTGCCATGAAATCCATCCCCTCGGCTTTAGCGTTTAAGTTTAGTTAAATTGTTATATTGTTGTCTGAGTGTGCGTCCTATCCAATACCAGCGTCTTTTTCTCACATCTAATACAATGTGGCTATATCTTCATCTTTCCCAGATGTTGTTATTCAAGAAGCCCGCTGCAACCGGCTGGCTGTTTATGGTAATGAGGGTAGGTTATCAACACTCGATGTCAAAGTTCAAACATCCAATCCACTCATCAGATGATGACGTCATCCGATAATTTCCTGGCCCGCGCCTTATCACTCCATCGACGCCAGAAAATATCAGGGCAAGGTCTGGTAGTGCCGCCTCCGCTGCATGCGTTACCACAGGTTGGTCCTGTAGCTAGGGGTCGGCATGACCTAGAACTGCGGTTTTCAACTCTAGCTAAAACGGTGGACTATATCGTCATTATTTCGTGTTTGTAAATCCCGTCAACATTTTGTTTTGATAGTCCATGCCTTGTGGCGTTACTTATCGTGTCTTACCAGATATGTCTGTCGCCTATACTGCCTTTCCTTTCCGATACAACTATTGTTTCGTGCCATGGTATCAAACCGTCCACAATCTCTTCTCTTGGTATTCCTGTGGTTCTTGTCGTCTCTAGATGTTTCTTCTGTCACGACACAATGTAGTTGTTCTTTTCTTTCGGACTAGGGGCCAAAAGAATGCAGACTGATTGCTTCTGATGCAAGAAATTAGTTCTCTTCGTTAGCTGATTGCATTAAATACAACTCCTGAATAGAGAAGTTTATGTTTGATCCGGTCCTTATGATTTCGTCAGTCTTCGCCAGCTTCAACATAATTGTTTTGACCAATCGGCAGCCTGTCCATTATTCACTTCCGTACATCAAGACTGAGTCTACTTTCTCTTTCGACGAGCATAAGTTGCACAAAAGAATTGTTATGCTGTGAAATGTTGCTATACTTAAGCGATGATACATTTACTTTATGTTACCCGTCTGCTGTGAGCACTTATATGCATCCACTTACTTTAGACGATACAAAAAACTTTGACTGACTGACTGACTGACTTTCTACCCCACTAGGACATCACACAAGCGATAAACACCCGATGACACAATGCGCCACCATGCGGGTGAGGATCACCGTGGAGAGGTCCCAGAAATCGCGTTCAGCCTTTAGGCCACATTTATGGCCAGGCTATATTGCGACCCCTGGCAAAAGCCAGAGCAGAGCTTAAAATAACGACAATTTTCATCCTAATAAGGACGGGAAGTACACAACACAAAATAACTTTGACTTATATCTTCAACCAAAACAAAATGTCCATGGCTAACCCGACTGTCGACACAAATTACAGTCAGGGATGAAACAGAAGATAAAGTTCAGGCATTGCGAATACGCTGACATCAAAATTGATGCGAATGGATATTTTTCCAATGAAATAGAAGACTGGCAATGGCGACATAGAGACTGCCAAGGGATTTTTTTTACGTGTGCAACAATACACACGGATGTCTGATCTTACTACCCAGAGACCCAGAGAAATTACTAGAAGTCCACGTCAAAAAATTCACAACCTTCCCCCGGAGCTTGAACCCGGAACCTCCAGCATTCAAGGCGGACACTATACTTTGAGACCACTCAGCTCTATCTGTTAACATTTACTAGTCAAGTTCCAGTGGGTTATTATCAAAACAATTTATGTATTTATGAATTATTGAGGAAAATTGCAAACATCTAGCAGGCTACAATGAGGAATTATTTAGTGACGATATCCTAATTAAGTGAATCGGAGAAGGGCGCGTAAAATCACGTTCGCATTAATGCAATATCGAATTACTGTAGGCACTTATAAAATATGAACCCTTCTGCACACGGTTATTTCCCCAGTCATTATTTTCCACAATTTTTTTTCTCTTAATGACATAGATTACGTATACACATCTGACATGTGTCGCTGGGGGGAGTATGTATCGTTTCGTTTTACAGCAGCAGAGAAATGAATTCACCAGTGACCTTACTCCATCCCCGACAACGTTGTCTTTAGTTGATATATGACACCTAATTCTGGCTAAATCTGGCCACATCTAATCAGGTTTGACTTGGCATGCAAATGAGAAAATTCCGGGAACACTTGTTTGTGTCAGTGTTAACGGCAATAGGAAACCCGCGAGGCATTTAGCACTTTATATATATATATATATATATATATATATATATATATATATATATATATATATATATATACATACATATATATATATGTGTGTGAGAGTGTGTGAATAATATGTATACTGGCATTGCATTACGGACACGTGAAACAACACTGACAGAGGGGCACATTTGTTTCAATATTTGACCTAAATTTTAACTCAATATGGGTCGCAAAATTAGTTTCAAAACTAAAAACTACAACTACTATATTTTTGCAGAAAATAAAGCCATAACCCAGAAGTAAAGCCCCAAACGAATTTTGAAGGATGCTTCTAATATTAGCTCCACCCAAAATATTCGCCCTACTAAGATCTTCGGCCATTTTGCTAGTCCGTTAAAACACACGGCAGCTGTATTGAACTATGCGGTAAAAAATGCATTCATAAATACAAATAAATAATAATGCCTAAATAGATGCAATTTTTTTTTACTAGAACAGATGTATACTTTTGTTTTTGAATAGATGTGCATTTTTGTACTTTTAAAATGTGTATTGTTGTGCTTGAATAAATGTATATTTTTATTTTAATAAAATTATATTTTTGTACTTGAAAAAAAAGTATATGTTCGTTTTTGAATTAATGTATACTTTAAAGTTTAAGAAATGTGTACCTTTGTGCTTTAATGGAAATATATTTTTGATTTTAATATATATATATATATATATATATATATATATATATATATATATATATATATATATTGTTTCAGAATGACTGTATATTTCTTTACTTGAATAAATGCATCTTTTTACACTGAAAAAATGTATATTTCTATACTTTGATAAATATGTATTTTTGTACTCGAATTACTGTATATTTTTGTACTTTAATAAATATGTTTTGTGCTTGAATAAATGTATAATTGTATACTTAAATAAATGTATAATAAATGTATATTTTTCTGCTTGAGTAAATGTATATTTTCATACTTGAATGTAAGTAATATAGATCTAGATTCTAGACAGCATAGATTCTGATTTGGATAAATGATCATGCAACATTGGAAGCCCTGAATGTGAAAACTTTGGCCGACAAGGCCTTCGATATCTTTCCAGGCACACTATCGACAATAGAGTTCTTGGCTAGCTGCTGAATATGAGGATATGGTGCTTATGGGAATGTTCCGAGTGCAGTGATTTTAGTTCTGAAGAAAAAACACGGAGCTAACAATATCTGGGAGAATACTGACTGACGCAGCTGTCCTTGTTTCTATGTTTGTGAATGTATGTTAGGTTCAGTCAACCAGTCAGTCAGCATATCTTGTACAGAACATCGATCTCTTCCCGACACGCCTGAAAGCAGCTCTTTCTCTAGACAGTTCTACAGCCCTGCCAGCTTTCATAGCAACAATATCTTTATTGGCCTGCATCCACGTTTACGGTGGTCGACCTCGGCCTTGTTTTCCACCCCCTCCCTTCCCAAACCACTTTTTCTCCAGACCACGGTGTTTCAGGGCATGTCCAAAAAAAAAAACCGATAGCTTTCGGGAGAGGATGCCGTTTACCAGCCAGTTCTACTTGATGTTCAGGTCCTGAAGGATGTTAAAGTTTTCCTTCGTCTTGGCTCACGGTCTTCTGAAGAATGTTTCTGTAGCATTTCACTTCAAAAGCCCCGACTTTCATCTTCAAAGAACAAGAGTCCATGATACATATTCATAAGTTTTCACGTGAAAGATGCATGATTTCAAAATTGTTACCTCAGCTTGCTTTGCATGTGCTTTACCGTAGGCTATAGATAAAGTTACCAAGCAAATTACACATAAGTGTTAAAGTAAGAGGATCGACAGATTGACATACAGATACACCAGTGATCTATGACCGGTCATTTATCAGTGAATGTCAATGAACAATCTACTTGCCTGTGAGTGTCGACTACTGCTGGAGCCGAAGAAACCATGGCATCCAGCGAAACACAACGTGCAGATCGCCAACAAGAGCTGCGAGTTCATGGCGGACGTAGCTGTCACTTGAGTTTAGAGACTAACAACAAGTTCAAGTAGATGACCGGCCACTCGAGAATGACGATATTGAAGCACTCGCTACAAGTCTCGAAAGCACACTCCTTGCAGTTCGTGAGTTGCTCTTTCCTGATCGTTGTCTGAAATGAGGGTTCTAACCAAGGATCTCGCACCCTTGACTGTGGAGCTCGAGTCACGTGGTTGACCTTCTCGTTGTGATTGTCCTCGTAAATACCGACCTTTCTGACGTCTTCCTGCCAGGTAGCCAAGTTCTGCAATAGTTTGGATTCTGTTCTCTTAAGTAGTTCTGGAGTAGTTTGGATTCTGTTTTCTTGAGTAGTTCTGAAATAGTTTGAATTCTGTTCTCTTGAGTAGTTCCGAAATTGTTTGGATTCTGTTTTCTTGAGTTGTTCCAATATAGTTTGGATTCTGCTCTCTTGAGTAGTTCTGAAATGCATTTTAAATATTATTTTTATTAATCTAATAGAAACTGTTTATACGCTCTCAAAGGCCACACACACACACACACACACACACACATATATATATATATATATATATATATATATATATATATATATATATATATATATATATATATATATTAATTTCTGGGATCACAATACGGGACATGGTTGGTGATGGCAGTCAAGATGGTTCAGTGGCTTGCAATCTTGCGTTGCAGCTCAATAGTGCTAGGTTTGAAACTCCCCTTCCTACTCCCCCCCCCCTAACTGAGGCGGATGTATGTGTCCCAAGGAGAGCCACCATGGAGATCCGAATGTCGGGGGTTCACGTCCTGATGGAGTCATACATTTGTGTGTTGAATGACCTTAGCTCCCAGGTCCACCCAGCCTTAAATGGGTACCAGGTAAAGTCCTGTTAAGTAAAGGCGGCCGGCCTAATGTTGACAACACCACACATTGAGTGCCAATTGGTCCACTAAATATTCGTTTCGCCCTATATGCCCAGTAGTGTGAATGTGTGGGAAAGAGTCATTGACTTGACTTGACTAAGTCTGACCAGTCGAAATGTCTACTAAGAACATATTCAGCTAAGTACGGCTAGCCAGAAAGGCAATGACAACTTAGACTATGGCATATAGTATAGTAGAGTTAACTAAAAGAGCTTTCCACGCCTTTGGACTTTATGGGCATATAGGGCTAGATCTATATTGTATAGTAATTTGTTTGCGAAATGGTCAACATCACACCAGCCGCCTTTACTTCCCAGGGCTATTACCAGGTACCCATGTAGGGTTGGGTCGACCTAGGAGCCAAGATCATTTTTGAAAGGGAAATAAAATGGCCAGCAACGTTGGGATCTGAAGACATGAACTTCAGATCCGCAAGCGAGTGTGCGGCACAGACTATAGTACAGACTATAGCACAGACTATAGCACAGACTATAGCATGCTGGCTCCAATTCAAGTATTGTTGAATGTATAGGCGTGTCACAATAAATTATGTTCAAACATAAAACACGGTAATTATTTCAGAATAAATGTTTTGGCTTCCTATCAGCAGAAATTTGTTTTTATGATGGTGCTCATCGGTACGCAGTACCAACACCGTTTAACGCCTTATCTGTTTTTCAGTACTACTGTAATAGACACTTGATGATGAGTACTGCCACCTTTTTAGACACTTGATGATGAGTACTGTTACCTTTTCAGACACTTAATAATGAGTACCGACACTTTTTTCAGACACCAAGTAGTGAGTACCGTCACCTTTTGAGACACTTTGTGACGAGATCCGTCACCTTTTTAGACAATTTGTGGTGAGTACTGTCCCCTTTTTAGACACTTGATGAGTGCCGTCACCTTTTTAGACACTTGATGATGAGTACCGACACCTATTTTAGACGCTTGATGAAGAGTACCAACATCTTTTTTAGACACTTGATGATGAGTACCGTCACCTTTCGAGACACTTTGTAGTGAGTACCGTTACCTATTTTAGACACTAAATGATGAGTACCGATACCTATTTTAGACACTTGATGATGAGTACCGACACCTTTTGAGACACCTTGTGGTGAGTACCGTCACCGTCGGGGCGCCTTAGCGTAGTCGATAAGAGGGTCGCTTTCAAATCCAGCTGCGACTCGTTGCAGCCCACGGCCAGTGTTCGAAACCGGGCGGCTACCAGGGTCTATCAGCTATCAGCCTCTAGGAAATGGGTACCAGAGTTGACACTCTGGGGTAAATGGAGGAACGTCGCTGTAGCCACAGAGTTACGTGCGGACGGCGACACAGAGGGACAATTCTTATCACCTGTTCGTACTGGTGGCAGAGCACTTATGGTTTATAACCGTGTGCAATGAAGCTGGTTCACATCTCCCGACTTCACCTTTGCCTTTTTTACCGTCACCTTTTTTAGACACTTGATGATGAGTCCCCACACTTTTTCAGACACTTTGTGGTGAGTACCGGCACCTTTGCTTTGCTAGAGGGTCAAAAGCTGTGCTCGTAAAAATGTAATGATATTATATTGGGAAATGTTACTTTTCTTAATTTTTCGGTCTATGACCAACCCTACCTGTCTCATTTAGAATAAATTAAAACTTGTTATTCTGAATCCACACACCCACCCCCATACAAGCACACAATTACACACATCCACACACGCACGCACATTTTTTCTCATAACTGATGAACTAATTCTAGAACTCATTGTATATCGAGATGATAAAATTATCCTACAAAAAACTGCAAAAGAATCATAAAAGTTTATCCGGCCGATCTGGGACTCCGTGGAAATCGAAACATGTTTCTGAGCAGTGGAAGAAGGGGAGAAAGAGAGAGAGAGAGAGAGAGAGAGAGAGAGAGAGAGAGAGAGAGAGAGAGAGAGAGAGAGAGAGAGAGAGAGGACTAATATCTACAGGATAAAAAATCCAAATTAACTGTGAAGCAATTGAAAGGGTTAAACATTTTGAATGATTAGGCTAAATAATTAATATTGCAATCCAGAAACTTGGCTAAGCAAATAATATAGCGAGGTATTTCTCTTCGGAAATTTGACTTGGTAAATAATATAGCCAGGAAATAACACTCCAGAACTTGTGCGGGGTAATTATTATACCCAGAGACTACACTCCGTAGATTTGGCTAGGTAATTAACATATCTGCAGATTGTTCTCTAGAAATTTAACTGGGTAATTAATATAACCAGAGTCTTGACTCAATAAATCTGGCTAAGTAATCAATATAGCTAGAGATCTATCTCCAGAAATTACCTGAGTAATTATTATAGCCAGAGACTTTGCTCCATAGATTGCTTAAGTAATTAATATAGCCGAGATTGCTCTCCGGAGATTTGACTAAGTAAAAAATATAGCCGGGGATTGCTCTCTGCAGATTTGACTAAGTAAATAATATAGACGGGGACTGCTCTCTAGAGATTTGACTAAGTAGATAGTATAACCGGGGATTGCTCTCTAGAAATTTGACAAAGTAAATAATATAGCCGGGGATTGCTCTCTAGAGATTTGACAAAGTAAATAATATAGCTGGGGATTGCTCTCTAGAGATTTGAATAAGTAAATAATATAACCGGGGATTGCTCTCTAGAAAATTGACTAAATAGATAATATAGCCGGGGATTGCTCTCTAGAAATTTGACTAAGTAAATAATATAGCCGGGGATTGCTCTATAGAGATTTGACTAAGTAAATAATATAGCCGGGGATTGCTCTCCGGAGATAGGACTAAGTAAATAATATAGCCGGGGATTGCTCTCCGGAGATTTGACTAAGTAAATAATATAGACGGGGATTGCTCTCTGCAGATTTGACTAAGTAAATAATATAGCCGGGGATTGCTCTCTGCAGATTTGACTAAGTAAATAATATAGCCGGGGATTGCTCTCTGGAGATAGGACTAGGTAAATAATATAGCCGGGGATTGCTCTCTGCAGATTTGACTAAGTAAATAATATAGCCGGGGATTGCTATTCAGAGATTTGACTAAGTAAATAATATAGCTGGGGATTGCTCTCTACAGATTTGACTGTGTAATTAATATAACCAGAGTCTTGATTGCATAAATTTGGCTAAGTGATTAAATAGCTAGAGAGCTCGCTCCAGAGATTTGACTAAGTAAATAATATAGCCGGGGATTGCTCCCCAGTATAGCACCGTCTTCACTATCTTTTGACAGTTAACACTAATGGCTGCTCAGACATGTTTCTCATTTCTTTACTCCATCTGATTAATCTCATCTAATGTTCATAATTTTGTTCAGGAATTTGTTTTTGAATTCAGTAAACATTAATTCCACGTTTCAGTAGTTTTCCAACTTTGCTCATGATTTGATTCACAAAATCGAAACTTGGTTCCAAAAGTATATATTTTAGAGTTCCATATTTCGTTCAAGCTGTGAAAAGCTGCTTACACCTTGCAACTAACTATATACATCAACGCGTAGTAAACACTATATTGTTTGTGTCCTGGTTGAGAAAAAATCCTGAAAGTCATGGCATTTCTCGTTCTTTTCAAAGAAAGAATAGACACAGTTGTAATTAGGATACTTCGACAATAAAAAGGCGTACGCAGTAAGACGCCAATGTTTCTACGGAAAGTCTTTATCAACGAAAATAAATAAAATGCCTTGCTATAAACCTGAAATATCTCGGCAATACAGACCCGGAATCAAAGTAACGAAACAAACAAACTGGTGCGTGTGCTTGTGTGGTGCATGTGTGTTACGTATGCGTACAGTCTGTATGTGACCATATCAGTGAGTATATGTATGTGTGTGTCTGTGTGCACTCACTATAAATTTCATTGTTACATTTTGAGTTCATTCGGTTTCCTCTATCAGCTGCTCAGAAACGCACGCAGATTTTACTCTCAAGTCAAAACTCTTGTCGACCATGGTCCAAGACAACTCACTGCTGTCCGCCATACTAATGTATCACTAGAGGGCATAAACAATAATGTATGACTGACAAATAGTATAGTAAATGCAGGGCCGTCTTAATACATAG